CACTTAATTCTTTCAACTTGAGAAACATTGCAATCTAAGCAGAGCCTTTCTTCTCTCTTGATGGAGAGAAGAGTAAGATCTGGCTGGCATATTTGACATACTTATGATGAAGCTCTTCGGAGATCTGTTTAGTGACAATTGCTTGTTGCTGTTGTTGTTGACTTTTAAGTTTTTTGATGTCCAAGGAACAACCATATCATTACACTTTGCAAATCTCTGTCAAGGTGCATCTACAGTGTGGAATTTTTTTTTTCTTGGATAAAATTTCAGACACCCCTTGAGAGGTGGAAGAATTGAGCACATGTGCCAGAGAGGTGTCTGTTTATTCATGCTAGCAGTTTTCTAAACCACTCCAGTTTAAGGTGATTGTAAGTATTAATGGTTTGCATCTATCACTAACATAAGAATTTTAAAATCTAAACCAAAATACTATTTTCTGTAAACCTGTTCTGTTCTTACATTCTCATACTCCTGCACAAGTACCAACAGTCAGATAACAGATTATTTATTTACCTGATTTGCCAACTGATTTGCATTTTTGCTATTGTAGGTGGAAATTTGAGGGAAATCTGTTCAAGATAGCTAGCTCTCTCAAACACTGAATTGAGCTGATCATGTAATTAAATACAATGGTATATATTATAATATGATTTTGAACATTGTTAGATAAAATAAAAGGTTTCCAATGAAATGTTTTCAGTTTCTGGGTAAAGGCAGGAATAGAAACAGGCAAAAGAAATTGATTCTTTGTTCGTTGGATTAATCAAGACAAGTTAAATGATGATGAAAACAATACAAACTGTATGCATTCCTGGTAGAGACATGAATGATCCTCACAATTATGCATATGACTTAAGCAGCTGTGAAAATAAATAATTCAATGAAACTACTATACCAACATTAGAGACTGTTTTACCATATTTCAAAACACTGAGAAGTAATATATCAAACACAACAGACAGTGTTTCAGCGAGATATCCAAACTCCAAAAAGAGAGTTGAAAACATAATGCACAGCTGATTGATGCACTTCAAGGTGTTTAGAAACATACCAAAGCATTGTCTCAATCAAAACAATAACTAACGAGAATTTTTAATGGAGAAATAAAAACATAAAAAATTAATGCCAATTAAGATCAGAAATCCAGAAACCATGACAATTATGCTCTCCTTTGTTTAAATTTGTTGATCTGTTGATTAGTTTAAGAGACTGTTGGCCACTTTGCTATTCTGTGATTAGTCTTTCCTGGGTCCCCAGCCATTTTACAGTACACCTTTAGTCAATTCACAACTATGCTAGTGTGGAACTTTTTGTAATATACAATGCTGTGTTTTGAAATTTTCAATAGCATAAATCACCGTTTTTTCTCAAATTTAAAAATAACACAATATATTTGCAATATTATTCCAATTTTCACCTATGATAATAACCTCAAAGTAACATATTTTTGTAAGTTTCAAAGTGAGAACTTATTATTTTGACGGCAAAACTGCTCTGCTTTTTGTACATTTTTTATGGCCAGCCACTATTAAGCAAAACAGTTGAGTTACAAAATGAGTTTAAATACTGCTAAATAATATCATGGTCAAAATATGCGTCAAAAATAATGGTTATCAATGCCCCAATGTAAATCCTTGAAATAAATTTCTCTTTGGACATCAATAACATAAATCTTTCATTTATAAAGTTGTGGAACTACGGAAATGTTTGGTTACCTACTGAATCAACATTCCAGAGTATATAAAGAACTAACTGAAATTGTTAGATACTAGAGATGAACATTCCAAAATTCCATCACAAAAAAAAAAAACAATCCTGTACAGGGAAATAGTTATGTCAATACTATCTGTGCCCATTGCTTGTAGAATTTGTTGTTGAATTACCGGTTGGCAAGTTTGTTGTGGGTAATGTTGGTTGCACTGTTGACGTATAATTGTTCTGTTTACATTTCACCATTGGATCAACATGTAAGCAATCATCTGAGTACCTATACTCCTGTTTCCATTCTGTTAGGAGGAAAAGAAACACCAGTATTACTGTCTAATTCAATGTGTGTATGTACACATGATCTCATTTACAACCCATATTCATCCTACATCACTACATCACACATGCATAATGTAACAGTTGAGTGTCATGTTTGTTTTGAAGAAAACCTCCAATTTTATTTTTGAAAACATGGATATTTATCCAGAGAGAGCAAGGACTTTCTAGATGGCCTAATCATAATATTATCTGAACATATCCCAGGATGTTTTTAAGAGATTCTCAAGATTGACCCAGCCAGTTCACCAAAGTTATGTTTTGACAGACACAACCTTGTCTCTGGCACCTTTCACTTCTTAAATCACAGAACTTAGAGGAAATACCTTCATTCACTTCGTTGGATGCATGCCGGTCGACAGAGAGTCTTTAAAACATACTCTTTCCAGTTACAAAATTTGCACAGCTGTAGCTAAAAGTTTAGAAAGTATTGGTCACGTGACCAATATCTTAAACAGAATCTTGCAGACATCCTCAATCTTATTAGGATCTATCTAGTCATATTTTGGAAAGATCTGGGCAAATATTTTATATGGCTCAACAATTGTGCTTGGTTTGAAATTTTATAAACCATTTTTCTGCTTTGGATCAGATTATGATACCCTGTAATATTTGTAACAAATAAATGGAATAAAATTGAACTTTGCTGACATCATTTCTAGACAAAAAGAATGTTAACAATAAGCTGCTGAATGATGTAAAACAAAGCAATATTCACAGAGTAATAGCTTAATGGAGGGTGAATGCTTAATAGAGGTTTGACTATATTAAAAATGTCAGTGTCACTGGAGATAAAATATCAAACTCAAGGCATTTTGTAGTCTTCCTGACAACTTGTCACTTCAATACAAGCAAAATTCATGGTCATGTAACAACCAATTAAAGAGAGACACATATTAGCACTCCAGTGGTACATTATCACCAGTTCACACCTCACATGTCTCTCATGATGCCCTATACGGGGTTTCTGGAATACAGGATATTCAGGCAAAAAATTAAAAGGATACAGGATATTTGGGGGGAAACTAAGGGATGATTCCCCGACTTTACTCAACACCATACATGTAATCTGGTTAAAAATATATCAATACTACACACCTGTGTCAAGACAATTAAAAGCTGAATATCCTACTTGTACTAAGTTTCCTTCATCATTTGGAACTGGCAGAAAATGTGGACATCTCTGCAACACAGTCAGACAAAGATCTACACAAGTTCTCTTCTTGCTCTTTGTTGCTGCTGATAACATGGTAAAGCATATCCAGTTTTTATAGGCTTCCTAAAAGTAATATTAACAAAACACTGTCAACATGGGAGGACGGTGGCCTCATGGTTAGTGCGCTCGACTCCAGAGCGAGTGGTCTGGGTTTGAGCCCTGGCCGGGGACATTGTGTTGTGTTCTTGTGCAAGACACTTTACTCTCATGGTGCCTCTCTCCACCCAGGTGTATAAATGGGTACCAGCGAATTTAATGCCAGGGGGTAACCCTGGGATAGACTAGCATCCCATCCAGGGGGGAGCAGAAATACTCCTAGTCGCTTCATGCTACTGAAACCAGGATAAGTTCCAGCCTGATGAACCACTTGCTTCATATGCAGACTTTACCTACCTTATTGTTCACATAAATTTGCTAAACATAGTTCTTTTCAGAGCATGGTATAGCTTATTTTGTGACCCAAATCACACTGATTTTTTCTTTTTCTTTTTTGTTAAATTAGAAATAATGTCAAGTCAGGAGCTGTAAACATTGAGTAGTTGTAATGTTCCAAAAATATGCTTGAAATATTGCTGGTTTTTGTGTCAAATGCATTACTTCGCTCTTTACTTTTTGTCAATTGATTGTTTGATGTGAATGAAAATTAAATATTTGCAAAGCAAACAAAATGTACAGAGGCCTGTACAATTAACTCAAGAGAATACACAATGATAGTTTACGGTATCAGTATACCTGAATTGACCGTCTCACGTTTAATAGCACATTTTTATGTGGATGCTTTGAAAATATCCCCCAATAAAGTATACATTTCCTGAAAGCTTAATAAATGAGGAATTCAAAAATGTTTTTTATCTTTTTGAAACTATAAAAGGTTTAGAAATTTTGCATAAGAAAGCAGTTTTAACCCTTTCGTCTTTATAACAAATAAAATGTATGTATGTAAAATGTATGTATGTACGGACTTTATGGACTAGCAGCAATGTGATTAATGTCAGAATTGATTCATGACACAATGCCCTTCGAAAGTGTGTCTCCAATTTCTCAAAGATCACTCATTGTTTTCTTTTTATACTATTTTAAAGTTTAACATTCAAACACTTGGGGTATCCTTTGGCAAACAAAGTATCCTTTGACAAACAAAGCCATAACCAGATTGAAATTAACTAATCCGAGTAGAGCATCTATCCATGAACATTTCAGCCAAATCTGTCCAAAGGTGGTTGCAAATGAACTTAAAACGCACCTTCATGTACCTACTGCTTTTTTTAAATTTTAGAGACACAGATGAAAAAAGCTTTAATTTATTAATTTCCAAATTGGTTTCTTCTAAGCAATTGATGACACACCAAGTGTAAGATTTACTGATGTACTGACAGATGACTCCAAGGATCAGCTTGCCGTAATCATAGTGTTTATGACAATCTGTATTTCACAGACATCAAAACAATATAATACTACATATGGTAGCTCAAGACATAGTGAAATGCAGTGAGATTTCTCATTGGGTACTCAGTTTAGTCATGCTACTGAACATCCGCTTGTAATTTTATTATCCAGGTATGTTGATGATTTGAACGATGAACAGCTATAATGATGTGAAGAATATCACAAACCGGCTATAGGTCAAATAGTGAGGAAACGAATTGCAACAAGCTCAATGTCGTGATATTCCAGGGCATGGAAAATCCAAGTGAACAGACGCTTAAATGAAATAATGCCTTATGGCCATGATTGCTCACTGCAAAATCGGCAACCTCTGAAGTGGAAAGTGGCTTGTTATCATACCATTAAAACCGTAAAGGGCACAATAGTATCTGTTTCTCTGAAGACATCAAAAATTTAGAATGTAGAAACGGCGAATAAAATAATCAAATAAAGAAACTATGGACAACTCTAGAGAACCAGGGAATCGAAGCGTGATCGCATGAAGGATAATAACTCTAGTCCACTCTGGTCATGCAATCGAGCCTGGGCATTGAGCAATATACAGTGACAGAGGGTGAATTCAAAAGCAATGACAGGAATTTGTCAACGTTTTGTCAGCGGTAATTACAAATTCAAAATCGTTTATCCTCTGTATCTCTAAAACCAAAAGAGCTTATAATTATCATTCCAAATTTTTTGAAAAAGAAAGTGCACAAAATTGTCTAGCCAGTGATTAAAATACAGAAAAATTGTATTTCTGAGTGAAATTGAGGCATAGTGATACCATGAGTCTGCATTTGAGGCTAGGTGATGCTTATCTTAGATTCTGACTAACATGAAGCCACCAAGACTACACCCCTCCCCACCTCCCAAATCTGGATAGGATGCTTGTCCATCACAGGGTTCCCCCAAAGCATTAAATACCCATTTATACACCTGGGTAGAGAGAGGCTCTGTGAGAGTGTCACAGTGTGATGAGGAAAGTGTTTTTCATGCAAACATGCAAAAAGAGCACTTAAAATTCAACTTTAAGAGTGCCTTTAAAATTTTCACATTAGCTAACAATTTCACTATTTCATTCCTTTAATTTTCTTTATATCCTTTATCCTCTTTTCACTTGCAACCTATTTTCCATTTGAATCAAAATTTCCCTTACATTAAAAATATGTATTTCTTTTTTATTGTGATTGCTTTTGTAGGAGAAAAATAATGAAGAAAGGGGCCTTATTATCAATTAACCAAGATAAAAGGATAATTCACTAATTTTACACAAAAGAAACACTGTCAGTGACAGTGAACTATCTTCCCCAGTTAATCAAGGCTCTTGTCCAGGCTTGCTAGGCTCACATAACCTTGCAATCTGTAGTCTACAGCACTGAAGGCCCCTTGTCCAGCTGTTCCCAAAATAACAATGTGGTCTTACATTTCCTCATAAAAAGAATTATGCCATCTCTATTTTAGACCGAAGACAGCAAATTTCAGATCAAAAACCATAACCTTGGGTTGCATTACATATCTTAACATTAGTTTATCTAGAGACAGCTCCGCATGTTCCTAATTCACCAGGTGATAATGTACAGCATGTAATAATGTAGAAAGCATGGTTCATTTGTAGCTCTAATCATTTCAAACTACTGGGTTTAACGATGATCCAGATCACTCATTAAGTCTTATTGGTAAGAAGATAAGTGTCAGTTTAAGGTAGGCCTGGAAATTGTATTTTAGCTTTTCAAGAGATACTGTCACGGTGATTTTGTTGCATTTTTGGTGAAAGCAGAGCTAAAATTACTGTTGAGTTCTTTTTCTTGTTCACAATGTACTCCTCGCTAAAAACCCAAGATGAAGATATTAATAATTTAAATAATTTGTTAAAGGAAGAGAATATTATGAAATAGTATTTTAGAGATTTTTCTAAGACATGACAACAGTGATAATAGTTGCCATACATGTATATATGCTGTTCAAAGTGGTTCTTAATGTTAACCCTGGCTGAAACCCTAGTGTGCGACTATTCAAATAATTTATAGCTATTGTGCAGTACTTTTATATGATACTGTTTACCACCTTGTAAAACCTCTCCACAGGATTATCAGTTAGTAGCATTTTCATCACTTGGTTTAAGATTACATATTAAGCCTTGTACTTCCAAGCTAGAACAGGGAGCTGTATACTTTATATGGCCTGGACAGAAGGTGAAAATCAGCCTGTTGCCACCTTCTAGTGAAATCCCTGTTACTATTTGTGGAAAGAACATAACTATAGATCATCTAAATATAAGCTTGCTTTCAAGCTGTGCTTTTGTCTAGCGCTGTTTATTGTGATGCACAAATGTTTGAAAGTATGTAGAAACCCTAGCGAATGAGCAGGGCTGTAACTAGTTTGAGGTAAACCGAGGCACTAATTGCCTCGGTCATGTTTTTTGTTTTTGTTGGTTTTCTTTTCAAAGGAAAATGTGAAACACTGCTAAATACCTAGGAAGAGAATTTAACCATGAAAATTGCCTCAGTCTTATTTTTTCTGGCTATGGCCTTGGTGAGCATTCAAAGAAAACCTATCAAATAAAATATTCACATCGATCAGGTGCAAAGTACTATTTAAATCTTATTAGATGTTTTGGGGTGTGTAGTATCGCTATATATTTTTACAAGTTGTGCTGTATTTTGACTCGCCCTATGGGCTCGTCAAAATACAAACAACAAGTAAAACTATAAAGCGATACTACACACCAAAACATCTAATAAGAGATTTATTATCCAACTGCTGTAGTCAATAAATTTATCAATGAAAAGAGGGAGAATGTGAGAGCTTTGCATGCACGCACCAACCTGTACAGCAAACAGGTTTTCTACTGTACGAATAACTGTACAATATCGCTGTATATTTGTACTGTTATTTGGATGGTATTCACTGCAGTTGGATAATGTTTGTTATTCTGTGCATACTTTTTGGTCTGGAAGAAAGTACCGCAGTGAATGACTTTTAGCTGCTCAACATTCATAAAGCACTCGTTGTTTTTTTTATGTTGTCAAAACTAAAAGTGCGGAATAGCTCAATCTTTTCAATGTTTTGAACTTAGACACCCATGGGAGCAAAAAAATGTTTATTGAATCTTGAGCTGGTACATTACTTCATGGTTGGTGGCCTATATCTAAGGGTCCTTGAACATGGCGTACTTCAAGATGATTTATGACAGATAAAGGGAATTATTGATTAGTGCATGCTGGGGTTTAAGTGATCAACAAAGAACATTCCTGACAAGTAATTAAGTGCAAGCATGGAATATTCATCATGAAAACATATGTTCTCTACTTTGTTCATTGCCATTAATTATTTCTTCTGGTTTTTTTCAAAACTGTGTACAAACCCAATGTTTATGGTGTAACCATACTGTGTATAGTCTGAACAATGACGGTGTTCATACAGTATTGTGTTTCAGAGCTTTTGACAATGACTTAATAGAATATTCAAATGACAAGTTTTGTATTTCTCTTGAGTTTTTTATATTCTGAATCTTTAAATTCTTTAAAACCATAAATGCATGTTCCAATAAGCTATACTCATTAAACACAAGCTACCTAAACTCAATTAAACTCTACAGAGGGTCGCTTGGGTTTTTTATGTAAATATTGACTTTGTGGGAGAAAAAAATTTATAACAGATAAATGGAAAAAGGGAAATAACAGACATATGATAATGTAAAATTTAATGAATATAAAATTTTTGATTCCCTGATGGCCAAAGGGAATCAAATACAAACCCAATTGAAAAGAAAATTTAAAAATTCTCATTGTAAGGTATAATTTAGAATGCGTTAACAGTAGGAGAAAATATTTCATTAAATTAATAAAAAATTGTGTTTTGCTATGAAAGAATAATAAAGAGTTTAAAATAGGAAGCTTTGGTGCAAAATGTATGTTTTAACGCAATACATGCATAAATGATAGTCTTCTTAGAGTTAATTCGGTGGAAATATTCTGTATCGTAAACTGCCCTAATAATTAATAATACATGGAGATCTTTTTGAAAAAAATAGCAAGGGCAATGAAAACTGATTTTGTACTAGGATAAATTTAGCAGGGGGTTGATTCTGGACAAGCAGTTTCAAATTTAAGTTGTTTGAATTTAAAGGCCAAATAATGATTAGATGGAGTTATCACCTGCAGAAAATCAAGAAAAAAGATGTTTAATATTTAAATCAAACACAGTTGTGAATGATAAGGACAATTTTAAGAAAGTTCTGCTCCTAAAAGACAGCGACCAAATATACTGGAAATAGCATATTTGCAGATGATCAATAAACCCTCAAATTGAAATAAAATGCAAAAATACATAATTTATATAAAAACCATTTAACACTTTCAGACCAAAAAACAGCAGCAAATATGAAATCTATTTACTGAATAATTAAAAAGTTCCTTCTTATTCTGATATTATAAAATTCTAAATTCTAAATTCTGTGAGTTTGGTGAGACATCAAGACCATATTTTCTAGTTTATCAATTATCTTTTTTTTTATTCTCGTTATTTTCTCACTGCGTTGATTATTCCAAATACGAATACAATAATTTGCAAACTTCAACATACATCAATTTTACAAAACATCACCGGAGAAAATCAAAGTTGCATGATTTCTTCCTAAATCCTTTTGACTTCTGAATTTAAGGCCGAGCTCTTTTGAACATTCTCAAAAGAAAAAGAGACGCTTATGTGCAATTATATTCCAAACATATGGTGACTTTAATTTTTGATTGCTCTTAAAATCTAAACAAAGATCGTCATGCAAAATGACAAAATGCAAACACATTTGTCTGTACATCAAATGCGCATATGTACGATCCGACACCCATCAAAAATCACGAAAACATCGTACTTAACATCATTTCTGCCGATGCCAAAATTGGAAGAGCGTTTAACGTCAAGGGCCGTCCGAATGTTCCAGAATCGATTGAAAAATTCGGCCATTGAATAAAAACCAAAAAGATGGAGATGTCATTTTCTTCATACAACGAAAAACCGCCAATTCACAGCGGGGTGCAAAAGATTCGCGCGTATTTTACATTCTCGAATACGCAATTTTCCCATGTCAAATAATCGATCTTCGAAACCGCACGTTTACATCTGCTTACCTTTTGAAAGAAAGGCGTTCACTAATACGGCTCTTTTCTCTTTGTTTGCGAAGACCTTGCTCTCGAATAAAGACGGGATACAATATGTGAATGTTGAAACAGTATTACAACCGATGGCACTTAGAGATTGTTGATGACTTAAATAGTATTTAGGGCTCCATTGTGACATTTTCTCGCGGCTTAATCCTATTGAGGAGCGATCGTGGGGATTTTTTTTCCTAAGAAGAGAGAAAGCTTTACCTTATCGAGCCATATCAGTTGCAGCGTACATGTCAAGACTTCCCAAACCATCAAATAAAAATAAAAACAGAGTCCATTCAAATAAATTATCGTGTCCATAATTTGGTCGATTACAAGTCTTTTCGATATGGTATAGTAAATGAAGATGGTTTCACGGTCGTTTGATGTAAACACTCCCAGAAATAACGATTTGCCGGATCCATTAAAATATATATTTACTGTACCTGCCTGACTGTGTTTTACTCAACATTAAAACAGCGTCAATGGAAAAACGACGTGATTTAAAACAGCGGGGAAGAAAAGTACTTCCCTTCCACCTGCTTCGGCAGTTCATAATAATCCAAGTAAAATATGAGGAATAAAATATGAAGCTCTGACGCATCTTAATTAAACAGCACTGACAGAGTTTAAACTTCATCCTTTACTTATGAGCTTAGAAGCCCGCGCAAATTAGTGAATAGAGCGAAGGAGACCGCAGTGATTTTTTCACGCTTCAATGTTCATCAACAAAGAAGACGAACGATGTAAAAGGTAGCAAGAACAAAAGCGGCGTTACGCTATATTTTCTAATTTCTCGAACGGGAGAATTTGATTAATCAAAGAAAGAGAAAAACATTACTTGAATGATCGCGATGAGCTAAGTGGCCTCACTGTGGCGACAAAGGGTTTAAGAGAGTTACTTCTTTGTTTTTGTCAAATTATGTTTTATTACTGCTGTAAGTCTGGCGTAATCAACACATCGAGCGTTGCGAAAAGATTGCGAGCAATTTAGTCCTGAGAAACAAAACATATCACGTAAAATACACACAGCACGAGAATCATTTAACATTTTCATCCTTCATTAAAAAGAATTTGATGTACATTTACATTCAAATTACTCACCAGACAGTCGAGGCAAGTTGAAGTTGCAGAGTAAGTGTTTGCCTCCCTTGTTTCTCCGCAATCAGTCCGCTGTATAATTCCCTCGAAACTTGTGTAACTATGATAAGCCGTATTGTCCACCCCTTGTAGCACGTTTAATTGTTGTTGACAAAAAGTTCTGTTCCGCTGTAATGCACCATTCAAAACTTCATTTATCGGAAAGGATGAACAAAATTCCAAGCGGTACGAGCTGTGGGTAACTCCTGCATCGTCTTGAGTTCCGTTCCCACAGTCTTCACAAACACACGCCAGATTAGTCCAGCATTTAGAATTGTTTAGTCGCATTCCGCAACAATTGACAGACTTAATGTCTATCTCTTCGCCCACACCCGATGTTGCAGCACTGAAAAGTAGCATTAAGACAACAAGAAGCCACAGTGGTGAAGGCAACCGTAAGAATCCACTGTAATACAACAACTGGCAACGGCTTTTACTCCATGTGAAGAGGGCTCCCACTTCTGTCGGCCGCATAAGCGATCCGACACATCGAGGATTGACTGCTTTGATGAGGAACCAACCTGAACTGAAAAACCTCTGATAAGCTGACGAGAATCATATAAGGTCTATAAATGTCGCGGTCCTGTTGAACCAGGTGAGCTGAGGAGATTCGATTGAAGTGCGGTCTTGTTGAACTGGGTAGATAAATTAAGAACATCTACCGACTTCCCGGCATTTGGTTACGCGCTATTTAATAGATTGAACGCACACGAGAGATTCTCACTGAGTTCTTCTCCGGTGTCAACTAACTTGGATCAGAAATCTGTAAACAAGGCTGTTAAGAAGAACGGAAATGAGCAGTAAATTTTTCTTCCAATACCAGTTGTACAACGCATGTGCCGTGACAGTTGTCACTTAGCTGTCCCTTGAGTATTGGAAAATATGTGGTTATTTATAAATATCTAAACGTCGCCAAAAAATATTCGGCAAAAACGCCGTTACATCGTGACAAAGTGGAAGAAACAGGAAAAAAGATACGAAAAAATATCTCTCCCTAGGTTTATTGACCGTGAAACGAAAACTGCGAAGTCCAGCTTGATTCAGTGATTGACGTGTCACGTAACCTTGAACATAACAATTGAACGGACGATTTAGTGTTTTCCCCTTAGTTTCGCAATTATTTGAATACATTTCCATCATTTCCAAAACATTGTCGTAGATCTCATGCCGATCACTGATCAGTTTTGTTTAATTTTCGTTTGTTAGTTGTCGTTTGTTATTGTGCTTTTCGTTGTCCGTCAATCGGAGAAAGAAATTCGACATCTGTCTCAGAAATAGATTGTTCTAGTGGAAATATTTTGGATACCACTTTTGTTGAACCCTGTCAGGCTTGTCTCAACGATTAGGTGGCACTACTGGCGTTCGAAATTAAGAAATGAATAATTAATTCAGCGAGTGACTGACATTAATGGCTGTAACCAAACTGATGGATTTCTTACTTTTTTGAAAACATATATTCTTGATGACACAGACGTTTTTCAATATTTTAAAGTTTCTTGGTTACGTAATCAGTCTATCCAAAATGACCTCTAGAATATTACATGTAAGGCTATACAATCCAGCATGCTTAATATTTAGTGAAGGCACATATCTTCAGCCATATATATAAGTCTAAATAATTTAGATCTTACTATGTGACGTCACGTTACCTCATAAAATGTTGACTCAAGAAATTCGAGCTCTTATTGGCAGTGTTCCCAGAGGGTTTCTGTCAACTCATCATCATTCACGTGACACTGTAAACAGCGAAGGGCCATAGCATGAACAAAATTATTACTGAGGCAATGTCTGTGGTTCTATTCTCTTCCTAGGTATTTAATCGTGTTTTACTTTCCCCCTTCGAAAAAAAAAAAACAGCAAAAACGAAAAAAATGACTGGGGTTTGCCTCCTACGGTCCTAACAGCTGGGCTTTCGAGACGCCGGTGATCCTGTTAGTCCTGATAGCTCCTGATCCTCTTCGTTGTAATCAGGCACAAGTAGTAATTCAGTTTTGCTGGGCCATTTAAAACAGTTAGTTCGAATGTTCGACGGACATCCTTCGTGTGCTCAGATCAGTCTCTAATTAGCTTAAAATATTCCAATTTTTCGTTCTTGGCTGCAACACATTCAGTTTAAAATCTATTGAGTTCTGAGAATTTCGAGTTATATCCACTGCTTTGGTTAACTGCTGACAGTTTGACTGACCTGTTGGCTTGAAGAAGTGGGATCAGAGAGCACTTTTGCATGAGCACTTTTGCGATCAACCAGTGGGTTGATTAACTGTGGTAGCTGCGCACATCATTTTGCGACTAGGTGGCGTTCAGTTGAATATTGTTTGCATACACGCAAATATCTGCTCGCAACAGCTGGATCAAATAGGTCAATCCATCATTTTGCATGACTAAAGACGTTTCATAGTAAAGCCACTCTATCCTGCTTGATGATAGATATTTGGCTAACCTTTTAGCCCGCGCGCGCCCTTGACTAAAACCCTAGTTTCTCATCAAGTTGAAATTCATTCTCTCTTAAAAGATCTTTCCGATCCTTAGCTTGTGGCCTCATCCACTTTAAACCAGTTGTCCTTGCTGCTTTGTGTCTTTTTATCTATTGCTTACAGAGAATCTGCTCCCCGCTCCCCGCCTTGTGCTTAAACCGCTCTCCCTTACTTCTGGTATGACTGTAAATGGTAACATCCTGAGCGAACAGTTCCGAAACATTTCCACCCCACCTCCCCACCCCCGTCCTTCATTGCACAAGGAAGGACGCACCTTCGGCGATCGTGTAACTACACCTACCCTTTGATTTTCTCCCAGGATCCCCCATTTGTTTGGTTGAGCCAAATCCGGAGGGCAATATTAATTGAAAAACCATGTGGCGCATGGAAAGAGCCCTGTAGTACAAGGTTTACTCAACCCATTTGTCCACGTCTACTAGGATGAACAGCAAAAGTTTCCTTGCACCCTAAATCATAGACTTGCCACAAGTCGACCTTTTCTTATTACCAACAGGTCAGGGAAGAATTATCGGAAAGGACTCTTAGAAGGTCTACTTAAATGAGATCAAAGTTATTAATTACGGACACTGGTAAATAAGTCGTCCACGGTTCAGCGAGAGGTGAACGCACAGGAAAAATTCTCAAGAGAGTCTCACGAGACTTAACCTGCGATCAAGCTCTTTTTTTTTTTGGAAAGAAGGAGGGAAAAGGGAATATAAGGGAGGGAGGGTATGATCGCAGGTTACACGAGACTGGTCACCATAACCAGAAGACTGGCAGGAATTATCAACAGAATGGCAGGGGTGATACCAGGAGGCCATGGGTGATACCAGAACGAAAACTTTACCAATATTCTTTAGTATATCAGTTCTAAATCATAAAGGAAATAGATATTTCATTTCAGAATACTGCGTGAAGAGCGAGGTTAAGCTTTCATTTTGTTTCTCTGATTCTACATGTAAGTGACCCTATTATACCACAGCATGAAAATAGCTAGGGGAAATGGCTTAAGGTGGCTAGCACCATTTTCCAGCACTTTCCAAGACTTAGATTTAAATCATGTTCAGTCATTATAACCACTGCTAATGTACACGTTGTTATAATTTTCGTTACACTAGAGGTTACCATAGCAACAGTGTCACCTGATAAAAAAAACACCCTTAATTTTAGTGCTTAGTCCTAATAACTAAAAATCCAGCTCAGTGACCCCCATATTTTATTATCGAATTGTGATAAGTATTACAAGATGAACCTTTTGGCAAAGTCTAAAGCATGGTCCCCGGTAAATTCTGACTGAATTGGTTCCTTGTTTGTCCCTACCTACGTTTTAATTCCAAAAAATCGTTATTCGCCTTACTAACTTTAGTTTACCAGCTACCACTTGTTAAGACGAAAAGTCACTGGTATAGTGTTCCGTGAATCCTTGACTTGCCCAAAAGGATTCGTTAACTTCGAGCGCAGAAAATGATAACCAAAGAATTGAAAACTCTATGGATTTACGAAAGTTATTATTCAAAAAAAAAAAAAAAAAAAAAACGTGATCGCAAGGATGCAATCGTTGGTGTATATATATATATATAGTACCCCTCAAATGTTTTTGTTCGAGCCCACGTTTCCAGGTTTGTATTATTTGTTAAGAGCATCATAAATTATCTGGACTCGACGCTAATTTCTTCCATGTTAAAGTCGGAATCGAGCATTCAACGAAATCTCTATGTGGCCAAAAGCAGTACAAGTAATTATTCCCTCCAGTCCTAATCATTTAAGAGTATAAACGAAAGTATTTAAGAAGTACAAATAGAAGTATGAAAGAAGGTCTTATAATGAATACGACGGATCCGTTTGAATTAGGGGTGAGAGAAATGTATTAGCCTTTGGTTGTGGAGATAAGACTGGGGTATCGAGATCGATAAATAAATCGAACACACTTGTATAACAATAAGTCCGTCATAAATTAGTTTTAAGTAATTGTTTTGATTTCAGGAAGGAACATGCATGCGTTGGGAAAATGTTTTCTCTTGAACAATATAATAGAGACAATAGAATACAAAAAAAAATTCGAAAAATCTGTAAAGTTGTCTCAGCTGTACCTTGTAGGTAAACAATGTTGATTTGTCCACTCAAGTAGCACGTAAGAGGGAAAACAGCAGCGATCTAAGTTTACTCTTCAAAAGGAAGTTTTTTTTAAACAAGCAATCAATAATCGACGGATACAACGATTTCCAACCTCCGGTGAAAAGGATGGAAAGAGAAGACATAGATTATTCTTCGAGAAATAAGCTTTTTGGCAGTGTAGATTACATAGGGTGATTAGAGATTTTTTTCCGTCGGCGAAACAATCTCGGTTACAGATTTTGAGAATTCTACCGCTTAATTTACCGTGTTTTCCAACCCCAGTATTTAAATGTGAGCTTATTTCCGATACATTATGCTCGTTGTGGTTAAAACACTGAAAATTCGTGCATCGGCAATATTTTCCTATAAAAATCATTCCAGTTAAAATCACAAGAGAAATTAAGTCTTCTCGATCTTGACTTTCAGTTCTCCGGAGGTTTCAGCGACTGTTTGAATTAAGCATGATTAGCTATTGCCTAGATTAGAAACACGAAAGGAAGTTAAATTTGCGATTCAAATCTCCTTAGTGACGTATGCCTAAAGAGTTAAAAATTCAAAACACATATTTAGGGGAAAGAAACTTTTTTAAATGAAAGATCATTGCATTTCCTCCATAAAATTGCGGTCGTATTTAAGGGGTTTTATAAACTGAAAAAATGACTGCGTGACTAAGCATATTCTTCGGACCAAAGTAAAAAGTCGTAAGAAGACCCACTTGTAACCAGGTGGTCGTGTTAACGGGTGGCCGTGTGGCGAGGTTATATTGTAACTGCGAAAACCTGGTACCTGGGAACCAGATTGTGATTTCGTAGTATTCCGTAGAAGATGAAGAAAGACAATGAATCATATATTTAGGAGATATCGTACATATATTTGAGCTGCGAGAGAAAGATTTTATAAATGAAAGCTTCATTTGTACCCAGCTTAAAAGCGACGGTTGCGCAAAAAAAAAAAAAAAAACAGCCTGAGAAAAAAAATCATTCCATTCTCGTCCGAATAGCCCTTTTCGCTTCTCGTAGCTAAGAGAAGCGAAAAGGGCTATTTTTTCTCGCAGTTTTCTTTCGCGCGGCTATTTTTTTCTCGCGGTTTTCTTTCGCATCACGCACGACGGATTAAGCGAAAGAGGGACTACTCGTAGTCTAACGAACTGACAATGTGACCAGCTCTCAGATGGCTTGATAGCTCAGTTGGTAGAGCACTGCATGACCTCGTATTGTTTGTTTTGTCAATAAAGAATCTTACGTCTTTAATTTTTCAATATGACAATTTGTATTTAGCATTGTTCACCTATGTCATGACAAAATGCATATGACTGTTATCATAAGTAATTTAACAAAATAGCAAACCGAAATTAGCCAATGGCGGCTATCCTGCAGCGTTGTTAAGGGAATCTTTATACAACGTTGTGTACAATGGAAGGATAAATGCATTTGCTAACAAAATATTGAGGGTAAATTAACACTTTTTCATTGCGATTTATGAAATTTCAAACAGTATTATTTCCTGGATAAGCCAGGCAGAGGGGAATTTGTCTTCTTTTTCTGCTCCCACTCCCGTGCATTTCACCTGTGCTTATCTGTCTAGACCCCAGGGAAATTTGCCTTTTTTTTGGAAAAAATGCCAATCCCGCCGAACTTACGTCGAGTACGAGAAAAAAAAATGACAATATCCAATGTGAAAAGGCAGAATTTCCAGTTGAATTACTCACCTGCTCCCATTTTCGTGGTATCCCGTCATTTAGCCCCAAAATAGATTAGATCCAGACCCTTTCGCCCACAACCAGAAGTCGAAAACAACTCACTGTCTGTTTCACGTTCTGTAAAGTGTGAATTCGAGGGCGAATGGGGGCTAATCGACTTCTGGTTGGGGGCTAACCCTGTAGGAGCCGTTAGGAGCTAATCGACTTAGGGACTGAACGACTTTAATACATTTACTTACGGAAACAAACTTTGCGGCAGCCGGAATAAGTATTTTTCGAGCAAGACAGAAATTTTTTTTTTTTTTAATTTTTCACCAGTGCTGGACGAGCCAACCGCTTTTTTTTCCCGCCAAAAGTATTTTGGCGGGTCACATTATTAATGCCAGCGGAATTTCTACAAAACATGCGCAGCAACAACAACCTTTCCAAGATGGCGCACATGAGTTTTGAGCAGTATTTGGATCAGGTTTGAAGAAATTTGTCATGGTTTAGCTCCTGAGTTAATTTTATGGTGCTCAAATTTTACGTACAATGTTTAATCTTTAGGTGGAAAAGGGACTTGTGTCCAAAAATGGTGATATTTTAGCGGTAAGGTTCTTTGTTTACCTCGCGCGTTTTCTAAAATTTAGCATACTTATCATTTATTTCCTCGTACCTTTAGACTGAGTATGGTTAAGCCAATTCTGAGATTGAAAAGTCATCTGTTTACCTTGCAGGAACTTTTTTCTTTTCGCCATCCACATATTGCTAGTACAAGACTGCAGGTATAAATCTTATTAATTTAGCTTTAATTAGCTTATGACCTTGATTAGTTCCCCTATAGCTATAAAATAGAAAAGTGGAGAAATGTAAGCTTAAACTCAATGTTAAGGTTGCATAAATAAAGTAATTTTTTTCCCATCTAGTTGTGGTTCTGTTTCACAGTGTGACCCAAAAAACAGTGAACAAAAATTATACAGATTTTTTTGGTTTTTAAATTTTACGGATCATGTGTACTAAAGGCACCCGCAGTCGAGTGGCGATCGATACTCTTGATCGATATCCTTGATCTACACCTCGATCGACATCCTAATCAGTACTCGGTCAACAATTGATTGACACTTGATCAACAGCCGGTCGGTAGTCGGCCGAGTGTCGGCCGACTCATATGTATCGATCAAAAATTAGTTAACTCTCGACCGATTGTCACCTGAGATGTCGATCGAGTGTTGATCGAGCATCAACCAAGGTGTTGATGGAGTGTCGATTGAGTATCGCTGGAGTGTTGATCGAGTATTGATCAAGGGTATCGATCGACACTCGATCGTGGATGCTTTTAGTACACATTATCCAATTTTACTACACTTGGTTACCGTGCATTTTATTGTGCGGCAATGGTTGCACTATTTTAAAGGGTGCTTCACCTTTGTAGAGATTTCTCAGTAATCTGCTGTTCTAGGAAAAATTGATCACATCCCCTCTTCTCCAGGAGTATATTTCAAGTGTCACCCCCCTGCCCACCCTATTGGAAATTATTTAGTTGCATACTCAGGACTCGAAGAAAAACTTAAATTTCAGCTTGCCCTTGGGACAAGTAGCTCTAAAATTGTGCTTGCCCAGGGCAAGTCTTAGTTTGCTCTTTTAGTGATTTAGTTGGCAGACGACTTGCCTGATTCCTTGCCCATTGGGTAAGTGATACTAAAAAGTTACTCGCCCAGAAGGAGAATCTACTTCGTCTTGTCCCGGACAATCGGACAGCCCTTTTTTCGGGCACTGATACTGTCCTCTAAAAATGTGTCTTAGGACTGGCTAAGTAATGTGCCCTTGATTCAAAACCTTCTGAGTTTGTTTAGTCGTCTAGTGTGGGCAAAATCTTTAACCTTTTAAAGAAAAAGTTCGCTTACTGATGACATTTTTTTCATTTTTAGTTGCCAGATTCACAGATGCAATGTGAAAAATGGTTTGAACAACCTTATGATGAAATGGTAGCATCTCACCTCAGGTAGTTTAAACATTGTTCTGCCAGAAACCTGTGGTGACCTGCAATGAACCAGGGTCTGATCCAGGGAGAGGAGCAATATTGATAGTTGCTTCATGTTGAGGATTTTGGGATAAGCTTAGGTTGTGTTGTCTGGTTCAGTTTTGTTGTTTTTGTATCAGGGGTCTTCACGATTTTATCGTCTTGTGTTGGCCTTTGAACTCCTTACTTAAAGACCCAGTATTGACCGTTATGCTTTTCATGCATTGGTTATTGTTTTGGTGTACATGTACATTCATGATAGAAAAGTCCAATGTTTTACTCTGCTCTCTGTGGCATGAACTGAGTATTTCTAGTCCCCTAGGATAGAATGCCTAGAACTAGTCCATTGCTGTGACTGAGGGTTACCTGCTTAGCAACTTTATGATATCAGAGGGATTCGTATGACCTTAAAACATTTTGACTTTGTTTTTTCAGAGCTGTCTGGGCTGTCGCTAATGGGGATTATGTGGAAGCACACGCTGCCCAAGCTGTTGTCGTTCAATATCCTTTTAAAAGCTTGTCTCTCAGCTGTCTGTTGTTTTTGTGTGGCTTACACGAAGTGTATAGCCACATTATGGCATGATTTGATTTATTTGTCCTGTGTCAGCACATTTCAAGAGCATTATGTGCAAACTTTGAACAGTGTTTCTCATACTGATGTAAATTTCTTCTTATGTGGGTTTGACTGTAAAAAAATCAATGAATCCAAAGAGTCTCAGTTTTATTAAACAGTTTGCAAGATTGTATACATGTAATATTATTTTTCTTATTTCTTATGCATGAGGTATTGATCTTAACAAATGTAGATCTTTTACCCGGGCTTTCCAGAGTCAAAAAGATGAAAACTGGTAGGTTAGTTTAACAAGTTACATTGAATTATTGTTGTCTGTTTAAATCAAATGTATTCAGTGACTAGACTGTGCACTTGAGGTTTTTACCAGATACAATGTAATAGTCAACAAAATTTAGCAGAGGCTCATTCTGTTGAATTAAACCATGCCCTGTTGTAAAATCATTATTTTGTGTTTCCCCAGTTCCAGAAAATGTTTTTCCCTTGTGAATCTCTTCTTAGACTGTTCTCTTTTAACCCTGATTTCCTTCCTCCAATAGGGCACTGCCCCTGATGAATGTGGTCACATTAGATCTGAGATTGTTTGCCATGCAGGTATATATAATATGAAGTACTGTTATAATATGTGGGAGGCGCAGTGGCCTCATGGTTAGTGAGCTCGTTTCCGGATCGAGTGGTCCGGGTTCAAGCCCTGGCCAGGGACATTGCATTGTGTTCTTGGGCAAGAAGAACAACCAAATTTGGCCACTTGGGCAAGACACTTTACTCTCACAGTGCCTCTCTCCACCCAGGTGTATAAATGGGTACCGGCAAACTTAATGCTGAGGGTAACCCTGTGATGGATTAGCATCCCATCCAGGGGTGGTACCAAAAAAACAAATGAAACAATAACGTTATCCATAAGTCATATACTCTACGGCTGGCATGATAGGACAAAGCATTAGCAAGTCCTGAATTATTGTCTACTGATAGCCAAATATTGTATTTTCTGCACAAGCCTTCGCCGAGATGTTTTAGATTTTCAAAACTTTCTATCGTTCATTCCCAGAAAACTTGAAATATTCTTAAAGAGATTGCAACTGCTAAAAAAGCACTTCCAAAATTTTATCGCACATGGGCCTTTCTATGTTAAGTTTATATGCTGCTGATGTTTATGGTTAATTAATATTTAATTTCATATTTATTACCTAACTTTAAGCTTGTACATATAGGGAAAAAAAACATGCATATATTAGGTGTCAGTGTAACATAATAACAATTAAGAAAAAAGAAAGGATGCAAATAGTGTAAGGATAGTATTGTAATTGACAGTTGTGTAAGTAACCAGTATTGTAAGTACTGTAAGTAAGTTATTAATTAGCCGTATGTGACAGTGTATTGTTATTAGTGTCAGTATGTAGTATTGTAAGTAATGTATTTTCTTGTACTGTTAAAAAATAAAATATCACTTCATGCTACAGAAACCGGGATAAGCTCTGGCCTGGTGGGCCACTTGGCTCGTATGAAGACTTTACCTTTTTTACTGTTATAATATACTATAATGATTGTTTGATTTCATCAACCTTTTAACTACAGTAAATGCATGTTATTATTTGTGTACATTGCCTTTTTGTCATTTTAATAGGCAGACAAACAGCAAATAAAAAAAGGACAAGGCAAACCTGGTGAGATGCTAGAGAAGGCAGCAGAAGTTATGATGGGTTGCTTCAGAGTCTGTGCAAGTGACAGGTCAGTTACCACAATCTAAAGTCCAGTGGCTATTGTTTCAGACACAGTGTCTATTGATCCCCAGAGGTCAGGTAAATGTTGGCTTGTAGCAAAGTTACAAAGTTACAAGCCTGATGGCTATTGATTCAGGCCAAGATCTTTTTTCCTGTTTGATGTATTCAATATCAGAAGTTGGTACAGTGTAAACATGGAATAAAAGCCTTGTATAGTCTGTACATGTACCAACCCAGGGGCTATTATTTCCTCAGCAGAATTGATATATTTCACTGCCACGGTTTTTATATATTCAACAAATTTATAACTTTATCTAAATGCTTTTTCTTGGTAGTCGATCTTCCCTTGATGTATCCAAGAAGTGGGGCATGCTTGCTCTTGTCAATCATTTGTTCAAGATTTACTTCAAGGTACTATTTAGATCACAAGTTGTTTGTTGCTTACAATATATTATTTTCTTTAGTGTTATTTGGTGCAAGTTACTGTTAGCAGCTCTTCTGAAATGTTTATATGTCATAAAATAATAGCTTGACTTTTTCTTTCCAAATTAACTTTAGTTATTAAATGTTACACCATATGGGTTTTCAAGTTATGCCTTCTATGTTAGAAGAAGTATATTTTATAGCAGCTGTAGAATAACAGCAGAAATGCTTTAATTCTAATCTCTAGTCATCTGTGTTAAGCCATTAATCAGATGATTCCGAGCAAAGTTTCCGAAATGTTTACTACCACGAGGAAGCATAATGTTATGCATGTTATAGGTTCCTTCTCCAACTCCTACACTGTATTTTTTTTCTTTAACAATATTTTGCACTTTGCTTGGTGAAATATATAAAAGATCAATTACAAGAGTACAAACAAGCTGTGAGCAATCATATTTTCTGAAACTAGAATGAAATACTGGCCGACAAACTGCAGCGTATTCTCACAGTTTTGTGTTTCCTGTGAAAATGGAAATGTGGCATTTCAAACCTATTTTAAGGGTTCATGGGTTTCACAATATCATATAGTGCATAATTTGCAGTTCCCTATAGTCTCTAAGCTGCAGTTGTTACATCTAATCTTGTATTGGTCCAGGAAGACACCTGTTAGTGACAACCTTACGTACCGGAGTAGTTTAGACCTGATATACCCATCAGTCAAGATGTTCCATTATGCCAAGAAAGTTCCTAAATAAATGAACTTCAAGGTCATAAAATTTTAACATATGTCTAATAATATGTGTATATGTTTAATTTTTTTTCAGATTAATAAACTTCACTTGTGCAAGCCCCTAATCAGAGCAATAGATAGTGCAACAATAAAAGACCAGTTTAAGCTGGCCCATCTGGTTACTTACAGGTATAGTATGGATTGTGTATGACATGTGATGGCTTAATAGTTAGTGTGCTTAGAGTAAGTCGTCAACCAGGGTCCAGGTGTTGTGTTCTTGAGAAAGCTCCTTACTCCCATATTATCTCTATCCACTGCATGCTTAAACTGTGGACTGCCAGGGTAACCTGACAAATGCCAAGTGGTATGCTGCAATGGACCAGCATCCCACCTAGGACTGTATTCCTACATGAAAGAAACTGGAGTTTAGCCCCCCTTCCCCCTTCCCCTGTTCCCCCATTCCCCCCTTCCCCCAGGGGACTGCTATGTGAAAAAGTTGGGGACATGTAAATTTTTTGAAAAATTTAAGTTAAACCCTAATAGCATTTTTGATTATTTCTTGAAGATCAACCCTAAAAGATACCTTGATGACTTAAAAATAATGGGGTTTTGTTCAGAACATCTTGAGTGAAGAACATCCCCGAACTTTTTATCTTGGAGTCCTCTGCTCTCCCCTGGGAATTAAACCCCAGCACTGATGAGCATTTGCCTAGTCTGTTCTCTTGAACTGGAACAGTCAACCAAGCTGGGTTTATGCTATTTAGATAAATCCCGGTAATTATGTTCTGTTTTCTTTTTTTATCCAACTTTATTTACTAGATATTTTGTGGGAAGGAAGGCAATGTTTGATAGTGATTTCAAAGCTGGTAAGTTGAAATGTCACACATGAAGGTATTATTTTTTGTTACTGGAGTAAACTGTTTTGTGAGTCCATTGTGCTTTTGCATATTTGCTAGTTGCGTCAAACCAAAATTCAGTTAAATTAATTTAATTCTTTAGTTATCTTCAAAGCCTGTAGCGTGTACGACTGTTCAAATGTACAGGCAGCAGTATTTACAGTGGAATCTCGATTTGGCAAATGCTTGACTTCAATAATCTCATGATAATGTGAACCAAACAATGTCTCTGCTGGTATTGTTTCATTTTAATTTTACTCCTGGTTTTTGATTGTCATATGCCTTAAGGAAACAATCTTGAGTTTTAGATAGATAGATACATAGATAAATAAACTTTATTTAAACATGATAATAATTAAAGCTAAAAGCTTTAATTATTATCGTGTATTATTATTATTATTATCTATTATTAAAGCTTTAGTTTTGACTATCCCCACACTGAGTCAGTCTTCCCATAAATCTATAACGTCATGTTGTTTGTGGTTTGTTGTTTTCTAACACTTTCACATTTGGGTATATGAATGAATAATTGTACTTAATCATTACTCAGTGGTAGTCATTTCTCACAGCATATTATTGATAATCATTCATTGATCCTTTTTCAGCTGATGAATATCTATCATTTGCATTTCAACACTGTAACATATCGTCCAGTAAAAATAAGAGGTAATAATATTTTGGACTGTTTTGACATGCTTTGCAGTCTTAAAAGAGGTTTTCCAAGTGGGTGTTGTAAGACCAAACCTAAAGCATTAACAATAACTCATTGCAACAAACATGAATGATAGAAAACTTGGAGCAAACACATGTAACCAGCATTTGAGCAAGTGGTGATGCATCTGAGTAAAGATTTTAAACCAATCAGTGAAAGCAGTAAAAGAAGACCAAACCAATTTCAGATAGCAATGATTATAAGATTCAGTTGATGATAATTATTGTTCTCAAAGTGGGAGAAAGGTCACAGATCATGTTGAAAAAGAGGTAGTCATTAGAGAGGCTGACTGATATTGGTAGGAGCGGTTTTTACACCAGCTGAGAATGTACCTATGACTGAATATTGCATCAATCTTTTTTGTCATGGGTTCTCGTAAATTATCTTTTGTGATTCACATTTTCGTTGTGCATCCAACAAAATGCTGTTTTATTAATCTTTTCTTTTTATCCCATCTTTACAGGGCAATCTTAGTGTATCTTATACCAGTCAAGATGCTGTTGGTAAATGTTAGAGATTTGTGTATAAAGCAGGTTACAGAGTACTGAACAAGAAAGCTTGCAATATCTCATGGTTGTACCTACCACCAGTGCCAGCAGTAAGGAATGTAATCCAAAATGTTACATGTTGTAAAAGGATGTAAAAAATACACCAATATTGTACACAAAATTATACGCAAATACACAAATCTTGTTCAGTATTTTGGTCCACTTTGAGTGAAACTTATAGATAAAGTGATATATGCGGATAAGTATGTTTTATTTCTATCTGTTGTTTTAGTAGAATGGTATAGCTCAGAGAATTCCTCACCCTGATTGGTTATCAAGGTGAGGTATTCAGCGTGGAATTGCGACTCTTGAAAGCGAGGCGCGTTGAATATTGCAACATTTTCACAGATGTAAATGAAACAGGGTTTTCTTTCATTTAAAAAGAAGGCTATGTGATTCAAGGAAAATTCATGACCTGACTAGTGAATTTCACATTAAATTTCACTTGAAAAACTGATATCAGTTTTTTGCGTGGAATTTGACATGGAATTCCCTCATCAGGTAATGAATTTTCCTATGTAAGGCGCAAGTTGTTCATCATCTATTTCATGTTTCATGGATTTCATGTTCGGATGACCAAAAACTGGAAAGTACCCATCTGATGGACAAGTGAAATGCGAAAAAATTTTTTGCCCTGTCTTATGTCTTTTGGAGTTTAGCATTACATCAAATCAATAGTCAGGAGAGAATTGAAATATCTCTGAAAAGTTACAGATCTGAAATCAAAATAATTGCTATTCGTGGATTAACTTTATCATGCTTAATAAATTATTAAGTTATTACTGGCAGTAACTTGTATGATGTCCAAATTGCCTTTTGATGAAATCCATTTGTCATTCTTTTCTTTTTCTTTGACTCCAGGGCTATATACCAAAAGAAGAAATTCTTTATAAATACAACTTGACTCAGTTTGTTGACATTGTTAGATCTGTAAGGTAAGAATTCAAGTTAGGAAATGCACATCAGATCACGCTTTTCAATACTTTGTTCAGATTTTGTCTTGAAATTTGAGATTAATAATTTGCATGCAATTTTCAGGATGGGAAATCTTGCACTTTTAAATGAGACACTGGAGGGACAACAGGTAATCTGATAAGGGTTTAAAAACGTGGATTAATTTAAAATTCTTTGTTATGTAATTTATACCAAAGCAGACCAAATCTGCAGGTGTTAGTGTTCAAAGGATGAAGAATGTTTTTCATCAACTGGCACCTATTTCATGAACCTCCAGCAAATTTGAAAGCAAATTTGAAAGTTTTTGAAATCATGTTTTGTTCAGTGTGTGTTGGTGATGTGTGAATTCAGCAAGGAAGTGAAAAAAATAGGTTATGGGCAATAGACCACAAGAGTCTGAGCATCGATCACTGACACTGCCACAGTTTCTTGTTTTGAAATAGTACAATAAAGAAGATTTATTAGGTTCCCTGAGAGGATCTTCATACCTAATTAACAAAATATTGCCTTTAAAAATTAAAATATATTATTGGTTTAATAAAAAGTACAATGTCACTACAATGATAAAAATGAAGCAGGATCAATACTACGATTATCAGTTGAGTAAGGCACAAAGGAAGTTTGGTGACAAAGTTTTAGCCATAAAATTATGGTGCTGTCATAGGAAACTATCCTTGTTTCCAGTGGTAACAATATCAACAGCCGTGCATTGTCTGTTGTGTTTTGTGAGCTTTGCTGCCAATGACATCAAAGGCCAACAAGTTGCCACTGGAAACGGAGCCTGTTGCCCATGACTCCACCATAATTTTCACGTTAAAACTTGGTGACCAAACTTTTGTCACACTTTACTCAACTGGTAATCGTAGTAACTTATTGGTTTGAATAAAAATTACTAAATACACTATTTCCTGTGTAAAATGCGTGTACCGGTAAATATACTGCAGTATTGCTCGATACATGTTCATTATGTGTACTTTTGCCAAGGTAGAAATGTGATTTATTATCCACCCAGCACCTGTGTGCAAAATGATTGTAAATATCCAACATTATTGTTTAGCATTCTTCTTTCTTTATTTGTTCCAGGCATTTTTTATTCAGTGTGGTGTTTACCTTATCTTAGAGAAGTTAAAGATCATAACATATAGAAACTTGTTTAAAAAAGTGTAAGTATGTGGTGCAAATGAGTGTTAATGCATCTTTTCAGAAGGACTATAATGTGGTTGGATGTAGTGCTTTCAATAAGATTTGTAGTAGGTGACTGCTCTGAGGCAGCACCTGTTAGAGAGCAACAAGAGATGCTCTTAACAACTTTTCTGGAGAGCCAAAATTAATGGGAATTCATTACTTTTGTTTTGTTCCCCAAGGCTTGGAGCCCAGTCATTAAATATGTCAAAATTGGCCTATTTTTACCATGCACAAAATTATAGGCATAAAAGGTTATTAGTCAGCCAGAAATGCTATAGGCAGTGAACTCTGATCAGTAACTTCTAAATTTCGTTAATCAGTGGAGTTGTTTTTGTAAAGACATGAATGATCAGATTTAAGATCTTTTATATATTCATTTCAATTTTTTTTTTGTTTTCTTTTTAGGGCTCTGCTGTTAAAAACTCATCAGCTTCCTTTAGATGCTTTTGTTATCGCTCTTAAAACAATGCAGGTAAGAAACGATCATTGAGATTGCTGATTTATGTCATAATAATGTAATTTCCAGTTTCATAGGGAGCACGTCTTAACCAATCTAACTAAGAAGGGGTGTGTTTAAACTAGTTCAGGGCGCCTCTCATGTGAGTCTGTTTAAGTTACGTTCAACAAGCACAGAGTATTGTAAAAAAAAAAATCACTTGCATTTACATCCTACCAGTAAAGTTTGAGCGAAGTCTGTTACATTTGTTTGAATTTACAAGCTTTATGATTTTTGTGATACTTTTTCGACGCCCTGTTCGGTTCCCCCGCCTATCCCATTTTCCCCTCATCCCTTCCCTAGCCCTCCTGTGTCATCCCCTTGCTGTTTTTCCCTCCCCTCTCTCACTTCCAAGCTTCCTGTTCCCTATTCAGCAGTTCTGACGGTAAAATAATGAATTATGCGAGGACCCGACTATGATTTCTCCTCTCTACATAATTGGGTCATGTAGCAGCGCTCGCAAGGTCTCGCATGTCATGACTTGTGGGCTCATTGGCTAATTTTCATTGTCAATAAGCAGACAGACAAATGAATTTATAATTAATGCGATGCATCAATGACTGAGAGCGGACAATTTGACAGTTTGTTATTGTAAAAAAACAAATTGACTTCAGTTTTTCATGCGTTGGTCATGCGTCAGTTTTTCATGTGTCTATTGTTATTGACAATAAATTTCGTCATAACATTGTCAAAGTAGTCTGCAGATCCCCAGCTGCTTTGACAATGTTGTGACGAAATTTATTGTCAATAACACGGCAGACGCATGAAAAACTGACATCGATTTGTTAAATAGAACAAATAAAACAGAAACAATACCCCCAGCTCTAAAACAATGACAGCTGCTACAATAATAAAGCAATAGCAGCTTACAATAGCAGCTACACTTTTAGCATACTTGAACGTTTTTTTATCACGACTGGGTTACTTTGTATCCGGATAGAAACGTCTCTCTATGAGATCAATAGCGTTATCTCCGGTGGGATCAGAAAACTTAGCTTGCACTTCTCCTGGCCCGTATTGGCTATTTGTTTGATAGCGCAGATGTGGCGCTGAACTCAGCAACACGTTTTTAATAATGCTTGCAACCTCTTCAGCCACCTGGCCATGTGATGTGACGGTGCGGTACATTTCTTTCAAAGCCTCCTTCAACAAAGCTTGAGTTTTTTCATCTGCACTAGATGTATCGATCCCTTCTCTTATCAATTTGGCGTTAGCAGTGAACGAAGTGGTCACTGGCCCGGGCTCGATAAGGGAACACCTGAGGAAAAATCAAAGGCGATACTCGTGAAACCCGCTTATCCAGCTATGGGGGTACTCAGGTATATTGTTATTAGAGAGATGCGATGTAAGGTGAAATTGTCAGACCCAGTTAACTCGTATTAGACTAAGACCAGACTGAAAAGAAGTCCATCGGCCTAGAGTGTAACCTAGAAAAATTCGAAATTGTTAGGCACATGGTTTAGAATCAAGGGTTGCGCATTAGGCAAATCCAAAACCGGGCAAAACGACCGTATCAGAATCTTTCACGCCCAACAAAGTCATTACAGAATCTCTAAGCATGAGTGAGTACTCTGAAAATTTCAAGGCTTACATACCCACCCCCGGTGTGTGTTACACCTGCATGCGCACCCCTCCCCCGCCTGGGTCTACTTGTGTCTGGCATGAAAATGTTAAATAAAAAGATCTAGACAGCAGTTGCAAAAATATACTTAAGTTCAGTGCTCTATAGTTTATGCGCTTCTTCGCTTAAAACTACGAGTTCAGGGTATAGTTACACATTATTGTTTGTTTTTTTGCTTCTTTTCTCTTACCTGATGTTGAATTTTCTCAGCGTTGGAGCAAGGCTCTCAGTCAGTCCTTCCAAAGCGAATTTCGATGCACTGTATATTTCACTGAACGGGTGGCCGTTCACTCCAATGATACTGCTGACGTTGATGATGCGACCCTTCTGCCTCGCCTTCATGCCCGGAAGAACCGCCTTGAGTACTCGCATGGCACCGAAGAAGTTGGTGTCAAACAAGTTCTGGGCTGTCTCGATTGGAATGCATTCAAACACACTCACCAGTCCTTGTCCAGCATTGTTTACTGACAGCGGGAGCGAAAAATAGAAAACATGGGTTAAAAACTCGCTCGTAGTCTGACCACCGGCGTGTCTTTTTCTTTTTTCCACTCTCGATCGAGCGAACCCCTCGTGAGAAATCGAGCCCAATGAAGTACCAATTAATTTTACTTATTCATAAAGACACCGCACTATTGAAACAAAATTGTTAGGTGTCTCATTAACACTGAATGCCTCTGTGTGTTAAGTTGCGGGTTAAGGTTATTCCCCAGTATTGCATTGCGCATCCCTACTGCGCATAATTTCACGCGTGATTAGCGCGCGCGCATTAAAAAATGGCGGCTTTTTCTTTA